GTGCTTTATCTGAAGCTTTCTCTCCTTGCTTGTATTTCACATTTTCTGGTTTTTTTTTTTTTTTTTCTCCCCCGTGTATTTTTGGATGTGGCATGTGCCCAATTGTGCTCAACATCACAGCAAATCGGAAAGCAATATGATCACAGAACTTCAATAATCCAAAGCCGTAGAGCCATTGTAAGAAAATGTCATGTTAACTAATCGAAAATTTTCTAACACGAATGGCAATAAATGAAATGAGAAAGAGAATAGCAATAAACGAGGTCTTAAATCCAATGGAATTGCAAGTAAGAATGAGAATAGTAATAAATGCAATGAGAAGAGTAACAAACGGAGTCGAAATGCAATGGAATTGGAAAAGGAAAAGAGAACAACAGTATATGCGGTGGTCCCCACAATGCTCTGCTCTGCTCTGCATGTCAGAAGCAGTAGCAGGCCAGAAATCAGTTGTCTGTCTCCACATAACCACTGCTGTGGGGACCACCATCACATTGTTTCTGTGGAAATGACAACCAAAAAAGGTCGATCGGAGTGGATCCACATTTACTTTATTAATTGCTCATTTGCGAGGATATGGGTCCTCGGAAGGCCTAAGGGGCCCTCTGCAGCAAATGCGCCCGCCCTAAGTGAAGGCGGTCCAAACAAATTAGGAGAGGCCCTTGTCTGTCAATTTCATATTTGGGGTTCAGGCAGTTTCGTCGCGCCAGTTGGTTGAAGGAAAACACAGGCCGAGCAGCGTGGAAATTCCCAGGCCTTCTAGGCCTTTCCGAAAGCACAGGCCCTGGGCGAGATTCGCAGCCTCATACACAGACAGTTGCGAGGCCCAACCGAATGAGGCCTGGTAGCTGCACCAGAGGCGCAGCATCCTGGGGCCTACCGGAAGCTTCTGGGCCCAGGCCAGTCCAAGCAGGCTGCCAAATGAGGCAGGCTCTTTTCATATAGGAAAGAGCTCGCTGCCTGGCCAGGCATTCGGGCACTTGCATGCTGGCGACAGCGCTGCTGGAGCTGAAGCTCGCGGGCTGCTGCTAGTGCTGAGAGGCGAGGTGCAAGCACGTGTGGTCGTGCAAGGAGGAGGGCGCTGCTGAGGGCAGCGCCATAGCCCAGCCTCAATAGCTGGCAGGGCTTGGATGCCCAGTGAGGCGCAGGGGTGGTCTTCGGGTGTACTACAAGGGAAGACGTGGGAGAGAGTCAAGGGAGAGAGAGAAGGATGATGATGATGATGATGATGATGATGATGAGGATGAGGATGAGGATGATGATGCGAGGGCACAGACCTGGTATTGGCGATGGTTGACAATGTGCATGGGCGACATCTTCAAGTACTTCGGGTGCTGCTGACGTCAACAGTTGCATTGTCAATTAGTAGGCTAGTAGTAGCTTTGTAGGGAGTAGGCTGGGCGCCGAGCGCCAGGTAGGGAGATAGGGACTGGAATCACTGGATACATCTGTTGGTGGTGGCGAGAGCAAGCTCTCATTGACATTGGCTTTCAGTGCTACTATTCTCCATTGGTGTTATATTCAATTTGGTGCAATGATACTTTCTGAACACTGTGTTACGATCTGGCTTTCAATGTGATTGTGCGATCTGAATATTGTCATCTCGCTACTGCTCATTTTCCTTGCACATTCTTCTTTCCCCTTGACAATGCGCCGACCCCAACAGAGTTAAACGCAAGGAGAAGTGACATTCCTTCTTTTTTTTTTTTTTTTTTTTGGACGTTGTACGTGGGGAGCAGTTTAAGACCCGTCCGTGGGACCAAGTAACGTACCAGTAGGGGTGACGTGCTGATTGAAGCGAAGTGTGCGGGGATGCTGATTGAAGCGAAGTGTGTGGGGATTACCTTGTCCATGTGGGGTTTACATGCTGATTGAAGCGATGTGTGTGGGGTGTGTGCGAGTTGTGGAGTCTGGTGGACTCTACAGCCTTGCAAGGGGCGGGGTGGACGTCACGACCAGTATGGTTACCGTTTTTAAACACCATGTCCTGTCTGTAGTTGTGAAGATAACTTGGTTCTTGTGGCCAAGGGCGTGGGTTCAAATCCGTGCCTGCACGAAGGGGGTCTGAGGCACAATGCACGGACTGGTATGGTTCTACTTTTAAAATTATACTTTTATTTTTTTCTATTTTTTTCCTGGCTGTAGTGATTAAGACACTTGGCCTGTAGTGGTGAAGACACTTGGGTCTCTTGTGTGGAAGCGTGTGACTCCGAATCTGTGCGTGCAAGGGGGATGTCTGAGCCGCCATGTACGGATCCATAACGACAAGGAGGTGCGTTCGATGTACGATTTGGTGTGTGGTTTTGTGCAGGCTTCACGGAGCACCTCTTTCCCAAAAGTTCGTTGCATGTCCTCGAGTCCTTTGCTACCATTGGGCTTATCTTTTTCTTATTTCTGGTTGGACTGGAGCTGGATCCGGAGTCTTTGAAGACGGCAGGAGCAGCTACAGCTGCAATATCGGTGGCAGGGATCGCGGTACCGTTTGTGCTAGGAGTGGGCGTTGCTAAATTTCTGTATGATGATGGTGAAGTCATGGGCGACATCGTAAAGAACTCTGGCACTGGCTTCGGCGCCTTTGTGGTTTTCATGGGAGTCTCCATGTCCATCACGGCCTTTCCTGTCCTCGCTCGTATTTTGGCGGAGTTCAAGTTGCTGACTACAGACGTTGGAGGTTTGGCTATGGCAGCCGCTGCTGTCGGAGACGTGGTTGCATGGGTGTTCCTTGCACTGGCTGTTTCGCTTACCAATTCAGACAAACCGGTGTTTTGCGTCTACGATCTCCTCATGGGCCTTCTCTTCTGCCTTGTAACCTTCGTTCTCGTAAAGCCTTTCATGGCGAAACTAGCGCAGCGTTGTCCGGCCGACGAGCCAATCCCTGAGCAGATTGTTGCCATAACCCTACTCCTCTGCCTTGCTTCGGCATTTGCGACGGACCTCTGCGGGATCCATGCGATTTTCGGCGCATTCCTATTCGGTCTGATCATTCCTAAAGACGGTCATTTCGCGGGGGCGTTGATCGAGAAGGTGGAAGACTTCACCAGCACTTTGCTCCTGCCTCTCTATTTCGTGTCGTCTGGTCTGAAAACGGAAATCGGCTCCATTGATTCTCTGCGTCTGGTCGGCGTTCTCATCCTCGTCGTCTCCGTTGCAACAGCCGGCAAAGTCGGAGGGGTTTATGTCGCGGCTCGGTTAACTAAACTGCCTCCAAAGAAGTCGTTTGTTTTCGGCGTGCTCATGAACACCAAGGGTCTGGTCGAGCTGATTGTTCTCAACATCGGAAGAGAGAAAGGGGTAAGTTTCATTTATATCCCTATCATGCTACTTAACTTAGCCAACGTTTTTGTTAATGCCCTCATGAATTTACTTCCAACGGTGCTACTCGCGGATCCTCGTATCACCCCTCGCAAGATACCACCCTGGGTAAAAAGCAGACCTCACAACTTACTGGAGCCAATGGAATATTATCCTACGCTGAGTCATAGAGAAGCAGGCCATATTTTTTAAAAGGATTCAGCAAAAAGAACTGGGTGGTTCTATGTTTGTCCTGTGGCGTAAAATCCCCCGCCGCGAGGTTGCCTTGTCATACGAGGCTGATTGAGGCGGACTGCCAAGATGTCAACACTGCCAACTTTTTTTTTTTTTTTTTTTTTTTTCCCTCCCCCACAAAAGAAAAGGATCTTATTTGCCTGGCAGAGGCTGCAGTTGACGAAAAGACAAACTGACTTCAAAAACCAGTCACTCATCAACCAGCTCACACATCAGGACAACAGAACCAGGAACAGGATAGAAGGGAGATGGTGAAGAAGAGGAAGAAGAAGAAAAAACACACAAAGGGGCAGAAGGGAGAATGCTATTTGCTTGATGCAAGCGGAACTGGGAAAAAAAAGGGGAAAAAGAAAAGGGGGAAGTACGTTTATGTCACATGGGAGTTCGTAATGGGCAGAAAAAACAGGCACCGGCGTCTGTGTCAGGGCCTGGGTTCGGAAAGGCATCCGTAACTCAGGTCGGCGGTGGTGTCAGGGCGGAGGATTCATTAACGCGGTTATGTTTTTT